AGGTGGAGGGACCAGTGAGGGAATTATCCATAGATATGCATAGATCATTGGTGTGTCAATAAAAACTGCACTACATCCAAAACAGGTATGTTCTTCACCATGAACATGATTCCTGTATCGTGAGTGGAACAGTACATGAGTGATCATCACTTTAGACTAGCCCAACCAAATAGCTGAGGTTCCACTACTCAGAATTTGGTATTAAGGGATTTTGGTCCCTATATCCCACATTGTGGCTAGGGCAATTGGACCACAACATTATATATATAGAAATACCTGTGAGTGGATGCATTTCAAGCCATCAGAATCAAGACAAGAAAGTAAGTAACACTGAAGTGGACAAACCTTCTCCTCCACCTGAAGAAGCTGGAAAGGTAACACCCCAGACTCGGAATGACAGAATTGTGTATGCCATAATCAACCAAAGGAAACAGAACTCATCAGATCTGGAATTATGAACATTCATCCTCACTCCCCTACTGTGTGAGCAAGGTACATTCCACTTGCCCCTGGAATTATGGGGAGGATGTGGAACAACTGTGCTCAACCAAGGACCCAGGATGGGACCACTCTGCATTCGGAATTACAAGGAGATAGTGGACCCTCTTCCATAAACAATGTACTGAATTGATCAAACACAACTGCCTTGCACACCACAACCAGATAGCGGAGCATCAAATCTTAACCGGTATTACGAGTACACTTCCGTGTAGGCTGGTGCAACTCCTACCAACATCTAGAAAAAACATCCCCAACTTCACCCTCTTCTCTAAGAGTGAAGTATTTCACTCTAATACTCTGGAGGAAAAACCTCTGCCCACCACCCCAATGACTGAAATCCAAGTTTGGTAAGGACTCCCTAGCTCCACTAGTAGAATTTGGGGGGGGGGGGTAATGTGCATTGGGGAGTCCTGAGGAACAGTGTTCTGGAAACAGTGCAATAGGTGAACCAAGTTCCCTAAATGTTTAAAAGCAAACCAACACCAATTTATTCAGTCTGATGATTGGCAGGGATGGGCAGGATCTCATTATGCTTTACTCATGATAGTCCATGAGTGGCAGTCCAGCATAGTACAATAATACCACCTAGGAGCTTACCAGGAACACTTCATTTCTGTAGAGTCTCTTGCAACCTGTGTAAATTATATTGAAATAGTGGTTGCTAGTGTGAAATTGGTTTGATAAACACACACCTGCCTGTGCAACACTTGCCACAGAGAGGGATCCTTTGAAAACGAAGTAAGGAACCCTGAAAGATAGCAATGAAAATACTCACCCTTCTGCCAAAGTGGTTAAGATAGCTACAGGGGTAGGCGAAAACCCTCAGATGAAGATACTGCCAGATCATGCAAATAATGGGAGATAAAAGTATTGCGAGAGATTCACATCAGTCTGCACAATGTCCTCCAATGGACAATTCGACTAGGCTGATAAAGACATAAAACTACGTCAAATCTGATGAGACATGACTTGTAGAAGATTCCTCACCCTCAAAGAGAGCCCAGAATAATAAGTCGTCATCTAGCTTCTCAAAAGGCATTAGTGCAGGCAACAAAACCTCCAAAACACTCATTGAACATGACAATGATTGAAATCTGATTGGTCATAAAAGTATGAAATAGTGATCAGATGAATCAGGTAAAACGATTAGTCCCCTTCCTGTCTTGAGTAAAAAGAACTGGGAGGCAGATAATCAATGTTTATGTTGCCTCGGTCACATAAAAACCATGAAAACGATCACTTGTGCACTCGTCCCAAAGGTACAAGGGATTCGAGTGAGCTTACATTCCCAGAAGAGAAAGAACCATCCATGCATTGAGAGAAGGAGAGGTGAGTAAAAGTCAGGTTTCCTGTTTCATAAAATGGAGCAGGATGTGAATTAGCTGAGCCCGACTGAAAAATTAGATGAAAAGTAAAATATCCAGAGACTGGTGACATATTGAAGAGGAACAAGAATAGATGTCACAGCTCTGAGAATGAAGCCTTCCTTAGTGGTTTCTGAAAGTAGAATCCGGGTGTGCTGTTTTGACAATTGAGGAGATGATGCCAGCAGTAACCAGTTGTCTATGAAATGGTGTGTGCACAGAGCTATGGAAAGGAGGTGACATGAAGAAAACTGCATAATTCAGCAGAACACATGTGAAGCCTGTGCTAGTCTGGGGGTAAAAACCTGGAACTGCAGTACCTGACCATTGTGTACAAAAAATGCCACCACTGTGCCAATGTGCAGAGAGAAGCCAAGTACAATGAACTTGGACATCCACAATACAAGTAAAAAATTTTAACACAAATTGAGGAATAAGTAACTTATGAATCTTGGAGAATTGAGACATTGACACTGATGAAAAAGATTGATGACGCAACACCAATCTCCTGTCTTCCTAGGCCCAAGAACCGATGGGAATAAAACCTCGGAAGAACTAGCACAATTGTCTCACTACCTCCAGACCAGCGAAACACAGATAGCCCTACAATTAAATTCCAATTCATGAGGGTCTGCGGGAGACGGAAATCCTACAGGTTGGGAAAATAATAGTGGTAAAGAACTTACTCAAGGACCTGTAGTGCTCGTGGATCTGTGGGTAAGGGTACCTCATGTCCAGAAATACTCAGTGTCTAGCCCCATGCAAACCCTTTAAAAATACAATAAATACTGATGCCGCTGGTGGAGATCCAACCAAGCAGCAGAACCCGTAGATATAGGCAATCAATTCTGGGTACCAATGTACTGAAGAGCTGATTTCGGGAGTCAGGACCCTTGAACATGGGCGGAACTATGACCTCCTGTAGGAGCCAATGAAATTAGAGACAACAGCAATGAATATAGAAGCTGACAATCAAACTAAAGTACATGTTAACAATGGTTCTAGCTCGTCATCAACGAAGGTGGTGAACCTGAGATGCTTCCAACAAGTGTAGTGTAGGAAAAACAAAAGGTTAGAGTAGAGTTGTAAGCCCATAGACATACCCTGTCCCACCAGGGGACATTAATATTTTCAGGTGAGCTAAAAACTCCGCCATAGAACCCCAAAATTCAAGAAGCAGATTTATTATGTGAGAGTTGGAATATGCTTCTACCTGGTGGTGGTAAGCTAAGTTATGAAGTTCCAACAATCTTGTCGGATAAAGCATAACTGTCCCATTCACTGAACTGATAAGTAAACCTCTTTACAGGAACCACGATATCCGTGGAAGGAGATAAAGCTAAAAATTAGCTCCTAGACCTTGCAGCCCACAATTAAGGTGCAGGCTCAAAAGCAACTGGGGAACGACCCAAAACACCACACACTCAATGAACCAACTGAAGAAAAGGAATCAAAAGCAGCTTATCCCAAAGTGACCTCCTTTTTGTTTTGTATTTCATTTAAAGACTGAGTTGATTATAACAACATTTAGTAAGGTAAGTTTGGTTTTAGATAGTAAAGCAACATTAGGCTGTCTGCTGTGTCCACTATAGGGAATCAAATCCTGGATTCCAGCAGTGTAAGCCTGTAAACTCATCATTGTCCCACAGGGGGACTGAAAAGCCAGCAGGCAAAAAGAAGCCACTGGAAAAATCGAATCAGAGCTGAATATATGTCTCCATCCCATTACGAATAAGATCACTGACAGTCTCAACCGAGAGTGACCCCACCCCCCCTCATTGTTGTGCGACGCTAGATATCAGAAATGGGATAGGAGAGACGTGATTTGCTTCCATGAAAGAGATAATAATCAGAGAGGTATTATAAATTGGCTGACCAATAAAAAAAGTATTTAATTTATATATATATATATTATCTTATTTTTTGCAAAAAGCAACTAGGTGGCACTAAGAATGCTCAAAGTATCTCCAACTGCTGCCGTAGTATGGAAAAACCCATTAGTAAACGCTTTGTCGAGAAAAAAGTGATAACATTATGTGAATGAGGTGCTTATAATTATATACAGTACCAGGATAGAGGGTGTATTGATGTAGGTGGAGAGTGTCATGAGATAAATATTGCCAAGGACCATTAGGTGGGGTATAAAAGACTGGAGGAAGCGAGAAAAAACCAAACCAATGCTCAGATAGGCAAAGAAAGAAACCCTGGCAGTGGAGTAATAGTAATACTATAAATATAATAGCTACAACTTACAAGTACAAGTATGGGAGGAGGTGAATATGTTATGGAAATATTTTTATACTAGCTAGTTTTGTGTAATAGCAGAGTACTACAGGTTGTATTTTACTGGAATACTCTACAGAAGAATAAAGAAATCCATAGTAACTAATACTTTGTTACTGTACTAGACATTCAAAGAGTAACAAAGTTACTAGTAGTCATCAAGATATATTTTGGCACAAACATGTATATATAATCAATACCTATGAGTGGTTTTTTCCCCACTTTATTGTCATGTAAAAAGATATATTTGTATGTAATCAACTTAAAAATCTGAATACCTATCAACAGAAATGTTTTTCAAAATTAGTGATTGAAACTTTTTAACTGAAATAGTTAATATGAACAACAGATATAGCTTGTACTCAACAAATGTAGAACTATTTTACTTGTAATCACTAACTTCTCTTGCTAATTAGAACTGTAAGACTGGTGCTGTAACTAGTTAAAAAAACTGTAATCACATTTATTAATAGACACTTTAAAAGTGTTTAAATAACATGCACTAAACAGTTTTAGTTGCAAAAAAAAAGTGAAACCATAAATGTGTTTATAAAAATTTCTCAATGTAAAAAAAATTGCTATAAAAGAAACTTAATATTTAATTTAAGACCACAAATGAATTTTGTTCAGCATAGCATACATATATTATGCAATACTATATTTCACACCCAAGATCTTGTGATATTCCCCTGAAGGAAATAGTGAGGTCTAAACTTACTTGTGGAAAACTTTTATACCCATATTAATATTAGCAGGTGAGTATAATATTTAATGCAAGCCACATTTGCTGTTTGCTTGAATATCAAAAAGAAAAAAGTGAATGTGAACAGAAAATAGCAACTAGACTTTAAAAAATATTTTCATCTCAACTTTATTATAAACATCATAATATGCCATATTCACATAGGTATTAATTTTTAGATATATTACTACTACATCACATTTACTAAACAGAAACATTTCAATTATGATCACTACTTACTGAACTTTGAAGGTTAAAAATAAATACATTAAATAGTACTAAAGTTCAGTATAATACTAATTTATCTTTATCTTATTTATCTAACTGAAACTCATTAACCCTAAATAATGATTGTTTTCAAAGTCCAGGAAAGGTTTTGATTCTAAGAAAAACATAGTGTTTATCAATGTTTTTCAAGTTACAAATAAGGTTGTGAAACTTTGAGAGCATCACAGACACCAACCCTGTGAGTAAGAAGTCAAATAAAATAAACGTACATTAGTATTCAATAATACAAAATTGATGTAATTTACAAAAATATATGAATACATGTATAAAAGCCAATGAATATATTACAAATCTCTATGAATCTTGGTAAGTGATTACAAATCTTTGTGCAAAACAAACTCCAAATTGTAAGTAATGCAGATAAGCAATGAAATAGTATACAATTACTTAGTGAAGTTCAAAATATAGATTAACACCAATGCTAAAATAATATTTTCATTTAACAAAAAAAAATACATGTGTACAGAAAAAAAGAGTACTTTTGTATAAACACAAAATAATTTGTATATATGTAAACAAAACAATACATCACTGATAGAACCTATTCATATAATAGGCATTTTATTACATGTAGATAGATATATAAAGATTTCTGACAATTTGAATTAACCTCTAGTCTTTTAACTCCATTAAATATATATCTGTTTTTTAACTAGTTACTAACATTTAGTGGCAATCACATTATATTTAGTACTGTACCATAAAAGATTTGATCCATCTTATTAAGATCACTTCTAAAACTCTTGTGTCCTGAACTTCATTATAAGGTAATGCATAAGGTATGTTCAAATCACCTTGTAAAAGACTTTATATGGTCTCAACAACTTATAAAAGGATGTTCACTCTTCCTTAAACCCTGCATCTCCAGCATATGTAGCTATAAACTGTTGCAGTAGTCTGTGAAACTGCTGTAATCTTTGGTCATTCTATAGCCAACATAAAGAAATCATTTAACTCACAGCAAATACACGTACAACTAAATACTCTTATAAGTAATTGTACAACAGTATGCATTTTATTATAAAAAGTTCATTACCAAGGAGTAGTGCCATTAACAGAATACAGAGAAATAATTGCAATCTCTAGTTGTGGAGAGTTTTCACTAATTACCTAATTTCACCACCACCATTTTAAAATACATTTCAAACTTACATCCATTTAAAACAATAGAAAACAAAGTTTTCAAAATTATTTTATTATATCAAACATATTAAAACTGATAAAAACAAACCTATAACAATTAAACATTAAAAAAAAATCAGTAAAGCCATCTTATAATCTCTTACTAGAAGTGTAGAAAATACAAACTGATAGGTACCTTTAAACTAAAAACCAAAGTTTGCAAGAAAATAATGAAATTAGCAGTTTTTCATTAGTTACTACCAAGTCAACAAAACTCTGTTAATATAGAATATATGCAGCTAAAGATTCAGTACAAAGCTATTGCTGATTGAAGCAGAGCAACAAAAAATTACTCTGTATAGCAGAGACAGCTGGTATGTCTTAGGGACTTGTGCCTAGTAATGGTCAGTTTCAAACTGTTTTTGTTAACCTAAGATGGTTGAAATGTTGTTCTTATACTTTATTTTAATTTAAAGTTTTTAATACCCATACCAGCCATCTCTGCTAAACATTTTCTTGTCATCATTAAAAAATTATTCTGCTGACAAAGACTGCTGTAGGTCTATTATAAATCGGCTGATGAGTAGAACAAGATGTCTCAACAAAGATCATATTTAGATAAAGATCCATTTTAAAACTAATGCAGAACTGAAAATGTAAACAATTCTGTTAACAAAGATCATATATCTCCAAACATTCATTACAAAGCTACAGCAGAAGTTAGAAGCACTTTTGCACTACTGGAGGAAACAAAATGTCTCTCTGTAACCCAGCCACTTGATAAAAGTACATAATTGAAAAGTTAGAGAACAAGCTTGATCTTACTTTATCTGGTTTTCAAGGCTTAAAGCCACAACTGAACATGTGAAAAACATTTCATTTTGTAATACGACAGATGACAATTAAAAGATAAGTAGCCAGATGAATTTCAACTTCAATGGACATATTCAGACTATTTGTAATGAAACCAACACAGTCCAGAGGTATCATCAGACAAGATTAAACATATCAAAAATGACTGAATGTTGAATTAAAATTTTTACTATCATACTTGACTATTTAACTCTCTGAACTGATGAAAGTGTCTTCTCATCATTACGGTTTCTAATAATTAAACATACTTACATAACTGCATTATTTTTACAAGTACAATAATTTGATATTCCCAAGTAAATTAAGAGTATTCATAGTAATATCCCTCATTATTAACATTAATAAATCTATCTTACAGATAACGGCTGCTTGAGGTTTATACCTGAATGTAAAATTACTTAACTAAAAAAAAAATATTTATAAGATTAACTTTATTTAGGTTTATTTACTAACCTCAAGACCAAAAAGATAGGACATATTTTCATTTCTGGCATGCGGCATATTTCTGACATTTAAAGCAGAGTAACCTGAAACATAATTTCATTGCAAAATAAATATTTGAAATTAAACCCATTATACCTATCAGTAAAAGACTGAACACCTGAAATTCTTAAAAAGAGGACAGTATAGAATCAACTTATAATACAAAATAACTACAACAAGAATCACTTAAATTTTTACATAAAACAAACATAAACAGGGCTGTTGACACATGCTGTTATGGTGGTTGGGGAATAAACTTGTTTGATTGAGTTTTGACTTTTAAAGCCAAGACTCACACAATCAAGCATCAGCCAGTACAGATTGCTTTAAGCTTGATCTGTTAAAGTAGATGTAGTAGTTATACTGATCCTGAGTATGAAATTGTACTTCTAGTAGGTGAATTACATTACAACCTTCTCTGATGAAGGAATGTAAGCAATACGACTTAACAAGTAAATGCCAGCAGAAGAAGCTGAACGTGATAACTAGATGAATATAAAAAAACCTAAAAACTGTACCTAAATGACACTTTAGTTAACGAAAGTTTTCAAACTATCCCAAAGAAAAATCATATAATTCAAAAACCTTATCTAGATTAATTTTTTTTTACTATGTCAATTGAAATCACCATAAACAATAAAAAATCAAAAGCAGAAAAAGTACCATTACTAATGGAAAAATCAACTGTTAAAAGCATAATTTGTAGATCTCCTGATGTTTCAAGCATGAAACACAATGCTTTTGGTTTGTTTGTTTGAAGTTAAGCACAAAGCTACACAATGGGCTATCTGTGCTCTGCCCACCACGGGTATCGAAACCCGGTTTCTAGCACTGTATGTCCGAAGACATACTGCTGTGCAAATGGGGGGCAATGCTTTTGGAGTATGCACAAGGACAGTAAGAGAGATGTGACTAAACTTGTATTACAGACTATGGAAAGTTTCAGATAAGAAATAATTAAAATTTAAGTTACCATTATTAGACTCAATGTCTTCTGGAAATTATTGTCTAATAATTATTTAGAACTATCAAATAGTGCATGACATACCATTGAAAAAGCTTTCATGTTTAAAAAATCTCACAAAATTAATCTCACAAAAGTACAAACAGCCTTTATTAGTACACATTTAGTTACAGTCCTAGCTGCTAGCTATATATAATTTCATAAAATGATCATTAAAATAATGAGACATTACTGACTACTAACAGTTACAAAAAAATACATATATTGGTCAAAACTAAACATGAAAATATATACAAAGGAAAATGCTCAACTGCTACGGTCAAACATACCTAGTTAACTATTCTACTGCATAATATTTTAGCCTAAGGTATAAGATGTAATACATACTTGTTAGATATAAACCTAAGACTGTAAGATTATGCATTAAAAATAATTTATTTAGTGTCTTATAATTAGAGCTACAGATATTCAGTTTTAACTAATAAACACTCGTAAAACACCCCTAATAAATTGGTAGTTTTTCAATAAACATTAGAAAAACACCAAATATGGTTATTCAGTTTACTTTAACACCCACACTTCTCCGAGTCACTGTGCTTGTTAGAGTTAACCCTTTCCATATGGACTACATTGCTCTGAAGGAAAAGGACCATGTTTCGTCCATTAGTGGGAAGTTTGTTTTATAATTTCATATAAAATATTAGCTGTTCTTCCAAAGCTTTAACAAAAATAAAACTTTGTTTTGTACCTGTTATTATTCCCATAAGAGAATTTAGTGTGTAGAGAATATATATGTTAGTATACTCATTACAGTGTTAAAAACAAAAACTCTGAAAAACAACAATTTTAAGGTATCTACAAAAACTAAAAATTGAAACCTCAAAACAAAAATTTTAAGATACTTAAATAAACACCAAAAACACAGAAGCTCTACTTATAGTAATAGTCCAATATATATAATCATAATAATAAAACAGCTAAAATAGGACTTTGTGAAAAAACACACTAAAAAATAGGTGTTACAATGTTGAATATTCGAGTGAACATTGAAAGAAAAACCTACTTTTTAGTGTTGTTTTTTTTTTTTTTATAATGTTCCATTTTCATGATTTGGACATATATGTATTATGACAATTCAGTTATTTCATAGCAATCCAGTATATTCCTCATATACTTTATTTTGATTATATCTTTATTAATGTATAATTTTACTTTTTAATTAGTGGACATAATTTGTACATTTTCTTTATAAATACACGTCTGTACCCATACTGAAGTACTGATTCTCAGAGTTAAAATGTCATGACAGTAAGTTACAATATAAAGTTCTTACCATATCTAGCACTTAGAGTTTCTTCATAAAGTAAAATAGCCATAACAGCATCACTGTCAGCTACTTTTTGTCTCAAGGACAGTTTACTGAAGGCTTGAGCCACTGACATACTAAAAGAATGGAGAAAATGGTAAGTTATATTTGTTTGAAATCCAGCACTTTCACAGAGATAACACTGGACTATGAATTGCTGACAGAGAAATGAATACAATCAGTTATCCAAGGAATGGGGCATTCAACACCTTCTCAGAATAGGAAGGGTCGAATAATTGAGGTTCCACAATATGAACTTCTCAAAATCTAGCAAGTGCTAATATTTTGAATCACTATAACACAGTTATTATATCCAGAAACATAAACCATATTCTTTAATCATTTCACTTAAAAAAATTATTGAGAAAAATTTATGAAACATAATTACAGGGTAGAAACAACAGCCATAGGAAACTCTGGCCCTTGAGCAGCTGATGAATGAACTCTTCTACTGGCTACATAATAACCTTGTATCAGGAATTCTGCTTCTTCAGTAAACCTTGTGTTAATAGAGCTGGCATAAGTCAGAAACTGAAAGCCACAAAAATAAGCAAATTCAAGAAGCTCTTTGTACAAATACATATACTACTGTCACACAACAAAATTCCCAGTTGAGCTACAATATATAATATTTGAAACAAAATAACCACTGTGATGATTAAAAGAATATGAATGTTAAACTGAAACTAAAACAAATAGTTTAGTTGACAATAAATATATGTTTAAGTAAAAATAAACTAGAAATCAAACATTTTCCTTACCTGAAAATGTATTTCTGATAGATAATTACCTTTCCACACAGTAGCTATTTCTCTCTGGTACCTGTTGTTAAGACTGCATACACCACTAGCCTTCAACCATCTCCCACCTAAGTCACGTTTTGATGTGAACTGTGCTAGTACATGATGAAATCATCATACAGCATAGCCCTCCACCAATAGAAGGGCTACACATCTTCCATCTACATTAGATCCCCATAAGCACTTGCATTCAAAATAAACTTCATTCTTAAGTGAGGCAAGAATAATGTGCACTGGTAGTGGGATGGTGTGCAAAGAGGTAAGTATCTATAGGAAATACATTTTCAGGTAAGGAAAATGTTAACTTCCAAAATATTCCACTTACATCTTCACACAGTACCTAGAACCCTACATTGATGTGATGGAGTGGCCAGTATAAAAGAGAAACCTGGATAAGAAGAGAAAAACCCATGGAGTGTGACATCCAATATTGGGGGCTTACTAGAGGGGAACACTCATGGGAGACTGCATCCTTCTCATGCAAGGTATACTCTTCACCTGGATGGAAGTATGAAAGCAGAAAAGGAAAAATAAGCCAATGTGTTACAAAGATTGGTTGAAAAAATAGATGACCAACTTAACTTTTGCACACAAGTCAAATAGACATGAGTTGTATTGTGGCTAGAGAATTAATCAGACTATATAGTTAGGTATATGTTCTGTTGTATAATATATCTGCCATACATACAGGAATGAGGATTAAGGTCTCTTCCTGCCTCCCAAGGAGAACACTTTGCCCATCGAGCTAATCAAAAACCACCTGGAAATTGTAGGTGACCTGCACTGACATGGACACTCTGCCCTGTCTTTTACTAGAGAATATGCAATGGTTTACCACAAAGTCTATTTTTGAAAGCTGGAATGTGCAAGCCAGAAAAATGGGCAGGCACTCCCCCCAGTGCTGGCTTTTTCCATGATTTTGAATGGAAGGTACAGTTTAGAATGGATATACATATATGTATACCATAGTGGTCTTGTACAAAAACCCATCTCAACAGCAGCACACAGAAACCAGAGTGGAGGGGATTAACACTATCTGTTATGCCTGACTCGATGTGAAGTTAGAGAAGTAAATATATCCTGTGAGGCAACACCAGCCACTGGGTGGTTTATGAGGGGGAAATAAGACTATTATTAAAAGTGGGTAAGAAATAAGTGAGGTATCTTGTTAGAATTGGTGAATAGCCTAAAGAATGGAAACTGGAGGGAGAAGTCTAGGTGGAGATGAAGATGTGTTGGGTGTTGTCCATCTTCCTGGCTATAAGATTTCACCCAATTGTTGCCAAAATGGCAAGGCCAGAGTCAGTCAAAAAACGAAACTGAAGAGAAGTGATGTGATAGAGTCATCAGGTATACCTCTAGGGAAGAGTAAACGACTCAGAAGAAGTGCTAAAACCACTGGTAAGTCACACAGCAGTAGGGGATTGCAACCATCCTGAAAGGAAACATGTTGAGCAACACCAGATCCCTCTTATGGGGAACAAAAGAAAAACAGGGTAAGAACAATTGTTGTGGGCAGAAATGATGGAAAAGAAAAGGACCTGTTGTACTCCCAAGCCACCTACATGTAGGGAAGGAAAAGCAGTCAGGAAACAAGAGAGAGTAAGATTTGTAGAACAGAGTATAGAAGGCACATAAGGCATAAACATTGGAATGGCAATGACTTCAAGTCAGAAGGAGAAGGAAAGAGGCCTTCAAGGAAAGGTAAGAGAAGGAATAAGTGGCCAAGGGTTCAAACGGGGTCTGGGTGAAAGTCAAGATCCACAAGAAAGTGCCAATCAGGCAAATGAACTGGAAGAAGAGAAAGGAAGGACAAGGAAAGAAAAGACAGAACCACAGCAAAATATACAAAATTTGGTTTACAAGGCCACACAATATCTCGCCATGTTGTATGTCAACAAAATCTGGTCAAACAGCCTGGTAAAGAAGTCAAAATGGCGAGCAACAGAAGGATGAACCAGAAACATAGGATGTCTAACAGACAAGTGGCAATAACAATGCCACTTGCATTGAAGAACAGAGTGAGAGGATGAATCGAGCAGTGACAAAGAAGTGCAACACAACATGAGAAACTACCCATCAGTTAAGTAATGGGCAATCCCATGCAAATAGCTGAAGAGACAACACTCCCAGGTGAAAGAGTAATGTAGAATATTGGAGCCAGAGGAACCTCAAAGATGGAAGAAGAGGTGCCTAAGATGCCAGTCAGTGGAGAAGAGGAAACCAAGACAGAGCTGGCTATTAAGATGCTACCAACAGGGCTCGACAAGGAGTGTCATGGAACATCACCAAGACGTGGGGGAAGATAGATAGCAGTAAACACATACAGAAAAGAAGAGACCAATACAGGCTGAGGGTGTCCACAGCCCGAGCAGTTGATTTTGGGATTGGGAACAAAAAGAGCTGAGATGACCAGACACTCCATTACTTGGAGATAAAATAATGAGTGTGAAGAAAACATGGCTCTGAGATGGATCAAATATAGAGTCAGGGGCAGGAACAACCAAGAAAATAAGACCAGACCAACAGCCTCTCAGAGGAGAAGGGTTATGGCTGTAGAAGAGGTCTACTGAGTAGAAGCAAAAAGCAACCAAATGTTCAGAAAAGAATGAAAACGAAGACCAAGATTGTGGATGTGGCAAGTGAAAGCCCTCATGACCTGGCTAAAAAGAGAAAGAGCAAAAGTCAAGCCAAAGGGTAGAGCCCTTTACTAGTATATCATATTAAGGTAGACAAACTGAAGGAAATGTTGTGATGATGGGGCTATTAGAATGTGAAGAAAAACGTCTGAGAACCATCTTCATCCAAAAGGCTGAAGGAAAAACAACCTATTAAGAGGAAGATACCCCTTCATCTGAAACTTGAAAATCATCAGAAGTGGTTCAAAGAAGAAGTACAATGAGAGGATGTCAGTCCCCAGTATTCAAGGGGACAATGAAGAGACAGGAATAATAACCCTGAGAAAGGCAATAGACTTTCTCTGTGGCATTCAAAACCAAGAGCTCTGACACTCTGTCTTCAAGATGGTGGAGGTACTAAAGAAAACAATGAGGAAAAGTGAAGAAGAGGAAGAGAAATGAAGAGAGAGACAGTGAGAAGAACCTGAGTGACACAATTGTCAGCTGTGAAATGAGTCCACAGATTAGCAAAGAAGCATCCCTCCCCAGGACCCAAGTTGACTGGGTACAAAGAGAGGCAATGACTGATAAAATGGAAAAAGGCCTCTGGGGGAGACAGCAAGATAAGGTAGAGGGGTAGGAGGAGGAAATGTGATAGAGGACAAGGTTACTTGGGCCAAGGAACATGAGAGAATACATGGGAATGAATGTAAGATGGGAAAGTAAAGAAGTGAGAGAAAATTGGTGGCAAGCAGCTTCCACTAGAAACTCCAATGTGCAATGAACACCCCAAAGAACTTATGGCAAATGAGTGGAGTGAGGTGCAAGACACAAAGGGAGGATTGAGGAAGGTGAAAGACAGAAAAAAAGGATGTTGCATCTGAATAGATCTCAAATGTACAGGAATTACATGAGGAGAGAGAAAGAGAGCCAATGATGAAACCCTGGTCTAAGTATGGTAAAAGATCAACCAGAGATACCACATAAAAATTACATGGATCCTTGGAAAGAACCTCAGATAGGTGATAAAAAGAAAACAGACAATAAAAGGTTGGGCCGGCATGGCCAGGTGGTTAAGACACTCAACTCGCAATCTGAGGGTCGCGGGTTTGAATCCCCGTCACACCAAACATGCTCGCCTTTTCAGCCGTGGGGGCGTTATAATGTGACGGTCAATCCCACTATTCGTTGGTAAAAGAGTAGCCCAAGAGTTGGCAGTGGGTGGTGATGACTAGCTGCCTTCCCTCTAGTCTTACACTGCTAAATTAGGGACGGCTAGCGCAGATAGCCCTCGTGTAGCTTTGCGCGAAATTCAGAAAACAAACAAAAAAACAACAATAAAAGGATAAACCACGAATAAGGTGAAGATGGTAGAAGAGAGCCCTAGTAAGGGATACTGGAGACAGAAGGTTAACCCCCAAGCAGAAAAAGGGAATTCCAGGGATTGAGGATCAAAGAGAGGGCTTGGCATGGCCAGGTGATTAGGGCGCTCAACTCGCAATCAGAGGGTCGCGGGTTCGAATCCCTGTCACACCAAACATGCTCGCCCTTTCAGCCGTGGGGGCGTTATAATGTGACGGTCAATCCCACTATTCGTTGGTAAAAGAGTAGCCCAATAGTTGGCGGTGTGTGGTGAGGACTAGCTGCCTTCACTATAGTCTTACACTGCTAAATTAGGGATGGCTAGCACAGATATCCCTCGTGTAGCTTTGCGCAAAAATTCAAAATGAACAATCAAAGACAGATAAAGGGGAGCAACTATTAACCATGTTGAAGGATTCATGGAAAAGAGGAGGATGAGGCATCTAGGGAAGAGTGTGAAAGATGCTAAGACAAGAAGATCTCAGTATGTATACTAAAGTAAGGTGAAGGGGAAGAATAAAAGTTCAGCATGAAAATGTAATAAAGATCATAAACAAACATTGGAGAAAGAAAAATCATAGTACAAACCTGGCACAATCAGCAAAGAGAGAGAGATAGGAATGATGTGTTTTTCCAGAGTGAATGACAATGCCAAGCAGTGGAAAGAAATGGACAAAAACATCAACCTCGTGGTCAGGCTCAGGAACAGAGAACATGCAGGAGATAGGGGAACTTGAAAGAAATGCATAAT